AGCATGCAGGAGCTGCACCCACTGGCAGGTGGGCGATACCGGCTAGGGGTCAGCCGGTGGCATAAAAACCGAGCTTCTTTGAGGGGCCAGCCACAGTTCCTCCCCTCCGGTCCCCTCCTATGAGCATCAATAGTCTCTGCTTGAGGCCGTTCGGGTGGGGGGACCAACGACATACCTCTAGGCAGTGGGCGGAGCGCAGAGTCATAGGGGAGGCTGGCTGCAGTGTGATCAGGCGCTAGGACCGGGGAGTGGGGCGGAGGGCGGCGACCGCTAAGGGAGAGTGGCGGGTGAAGTAAGGCAAGGCGGGCGACGGGCGCTGAGACTATGCAGGGAGGCAGACGAGCGGCGGGAGCTGCGTTAGCAATAGCAGGGGAGACAGGCAGCGGACCGCTAGCGAACGGGTGGCAGTGCGAGATTGAGACAGAGTGTGGCCAGGCGCAGTAGAGGTGTGGCTGTATCCAAGCATAGACGGATAGCGAAGAAAGAAAAGAGGATGAATCGGGGCACATTTTCGCGCCGGGTTCATTCGAAGGGAGGAGGAATGAAAGAAGCAGAGATGGCAGAGGAAGGGGAGGAGTGATGATCGTGAAACTCAGTCGATCCTTGATGAAATCGGCCGAGGGAAGAAGTGTTCTGGAGGTTTGGGGACCGGGCGAGCGTAGTGGTAAAGCTAGATTTGGCTATGGGTTAGTGGACTAAGAGGTTAGTAGGGAAGAACGTGCGCGGAGATGACAAAGTAGAGCGGTGAGGCGAGAATAAGAGGTTTTTCACCCGATTCTTTATGAAATCGTGCGAGGTAAGATTGTAAGTTGGGGTTTTTTGGTTTTGCGAGACAAAGGATGATGTTAGTTTTTTGGACAAAGGAGCGGATTGACCGGTGTAGGAGAAAAAGGCTGCGGGAGAATGTCGAGGGATGTAATATGACGAATTTGGAGGGATTCGTTTTAACATATCCTAGCAAAGATTAGGCAGGGAGAAGGGAGTTGCAGAAGCTTGGAGGTGGGGCGAATCTAATAGAGAGGTCGGATGTAGGAGTTAGTTGTTAGTATTAGCTACATGAGAAGTAGAGGCAACACGCGTGGAGGAGAGAAAAAGACGGATGCACCTACCCGCCTTCTAGCGGAAGATTCATTCGATTTTGCTCATTCTATCCTTGGCAGCAGTGTGAGGCCAGCTGCACCACGCATAGAGAGAGATAGAGAGAGAGAGAGGGGGGGGGAGAAGTCACTTACCTGAGTAGAGAAGGAAGCGGGACCAGGGAGCCTGCCACCCATCGAACCAGGCACATCTGAGATAAGGGCCGCTCGGTTCGGAGTGTCTGTGTTGCCTGTAGGGGATGACGGATGTCTGTCGAGGTGACTCTCTGGCTCAGTACGTGGTGGGAATCAACAATCTGCGGGGCTCAATCGTGATGTGAGTTGGTCAGGTGTTGCTCTGTTTAGTGTCGGATGTGTGGGCATCCTTGTCTGCGTCCCGCAACTGCCCTGTCGCCTCTGTCCCACTTGCTTCTCATATGGTTCTTTGCGGGTTGCTCAGTTAGCTGTGCGGTGTGACCGGGTCGTTGGTGTTGCCTCGTGCCCCGCTGCTTTGCTGCCGTACTGCTCATCCGCAGGTCGTGCCTTCTGTGTGTTGCCACTTGTGCGCCCTGAAGGTTGGTGGCCTTGCTGCTGATGCCTTGTGCTCCGCTCCATGGTTGTCGACCTGCTAGTCCGCTCGCCCTGTCGTCCCCTACAGGGTTGTTGCCCTGCTCATGTTGTCCTGCACTTCACGGTTTCTGCGCTGCATCCTGCGTGCCATGGCATCCCTCGCAGTCACTTGAGTAGGAAGTTGAATGCTGGGGGTAACGGCGACTGCGGGCTCACCCGAAAGTTGGCAAGTACAACTTGTTGCTGAACAGAGCAGCGGTAGGCTAGTTACAGGGTGAAGACTTGGGGGTCAGTTGGTGCAGGGCCATTATTGCAGCATGGGGAGGGGCACCTGGTACATCGAACTTGTTGCGTATCGTTGTGCTAATTGCAAGAACTGGCGAATTGAGAGCTCCTTCTTGATCTTAGGGGTGCAAGTGTGACGACGGTCGTCGAGGGGAGGTGTTGGAACTGAGAGAAGTGATTAGGCTGAGGAGGGAGGTTATTACCATTAGTAAGGAGGTCGTTTGAGGGTTGATTTCAGTAGGTTGACTTCAGTATGACCAAGATGTTGCGTTTTGTTGGCCATCATTGCGGGGCCCTCTGGATCTGAAGATAACAAGGCCTTCTCCTGGGAGTTGAGTTTGTCTCTCTTGTGTATCTCAAGAATCTGAAACCCCTTTTCTTCTGCCCTTCTTACTCTCAGTCTAATCTTGTTCAGAGAGGAAGGCGGCAGGCGGGATTGCAACCCGTAGGACAGCAGCAAGACTCTGTGGGGAGTCAGCCCACAGATTGCGGGAGCTCAGCCGGAACTCAGGAGGAGTTCTGGAGGCAGGGAACTGAGACGCAATCGTTGCTTTCCTTCTATAAACCAAGTATAAACCCTACTTGTAGTCACTGCTATGTTTGACTGAGTATGTTGCCTGTATCCCTACTTTGACTTTACGTTTGACTTTCAGGACAAAACCAGACTAAGTAAAGGAATGTATGTGCAATGTCAGTTTCAGTTTTTGTTGTTTGACTGAAAGCAGATTGTGGGATTGCATCTGGGGGAAAGGTGGGAGGAAGTGTTGCATACTGTAACGTGCAGACCAAAACAAGAACCGACCTCTCAATGCAAAGTACAAGATGGCGCAAACGAAAGACTTAGATACCAATGATCCGATCAATCAATGTTGCAATGCAGCCCAGAACATACATCATCATCATCATCCCAGAGTGTGAAAGGGGTCTGGCGCTTCACACAGGAAGACTGCGCCAGTAGATACCGATGATCCCATCATTCAATGTTGCAATGCAGCCCAGAACATACATCATCATCATCATCCCAGAGTGTGAAAGGGGTCTGGCGCTTCACACAGGAAGACTGCGCCAGCCCCACCCATACACAGACGAAGATGAGGGGGGTTAGACGAGGAGGAGGGAAAGATGGGAATGTCGTCAACACCAAGTCTTCGGCACATGCCCAAATAGTCCCTCGTCAAAATGTCTGAATCCCAAATGTCGAGTCTGTATCCAATGTCGTCAAGTCTCAGGTCATATCTCTCTCTCGTAATCCACAAATACTGAGAAGTAGGCAGCGAGAGGGGAAGAAGAGGTGGTGAACTTAGAAGAGGAAGAAGAGGAACTCTCTCTCTCTCTCAGTCCAGTACTAACCAATGAAGGTGGCGCTGTGATGCAGGTACCTCGAAGATGGAGCTGGAGCGATGGCGCCACAGGTAAGTACTACTGGCCTCCGCAAGTCACCTCTCTCCCATACCACTACTACTACTACTACTAAAGCGCCCAGCGCTGAAGACTACAGCTATGGCGCCCAACTCTGAAGACTACACTAGCGCTAAGTTGCCCTGGGCAGCGCTCCTCCTGAGTGCTGCTCCACTATCCTAAAGACTACCCTGACTACCGTCTGACTACCTACCCGTGAAGTGCATGGGAACTTCCTATGTACTACCGGGTGTGCCTCCTAACTCGTGCGAGCAGTCGAGGAGGCCGCTCTTGCCAATGCCGAAGGGAGGCAGGGGCTGCAGCTGCAGCTCCTGCTCGAGCTGGCGTGGAACAGGCTATTTCTGGCCTGTTCCGAAAACCCTGTTTCTGTGCCTGAGTCTTAGGTAGGTCGAACACAATGAGGCCCTGAAAATCACCCTCCGTTTCAGGCTGGAAAAACTCTGGGTCTGAAAGACCCAAAAATAGGCTGAAACGGAGTAGGGCCTGCACACCCTCGTTTTTCAGCTTTCAGGCTGAAACGACCGGGGCTTGTAAGCCCTAAGTTTTAGGCTTTTAGGCTGAATGTTTGTGACGGGCTCTGCAGGGCCCGTGTGGCTACGCAGTATGCCACACCCCCCCTTCCTTGAAAGACCGAGCTTACCTACGAGGGCGAAGCTGTCTGCCTGAGGGAGGGACCACAGTCCGGGTGGGAGGGGCTGGTCATGAAGCTTCCTGAGCTAATCTCCGCTTTTCATAATGCGAGTAGATGAGCGGTGCCTATGCTTTCAAATCTGCGCCTGAAATCCACTGAGTGTCGTTGCGATCGCATGCTTTGAATGTGACTTTGTACTGCCGCGGCTTGCTGCCGTACTTGCGATCGGTGATGATGCGGTCAACTTCCTGATGACCATCCATATAAGGAGGGTCCTGCGATTGTCGGCCTGGAAAGTCGTCGCTCTTGGCTCCTCGTCGAATGCGAAGGCATGATGTGTCATAGCGCAAAGATCAGGTCTTCGCGAGAGTGCATCTGCTGTGCGATTTGAGAGGCCGGGAATATGTTTCAGTGTGAAGTCGAATTGGTCGATGAAGTACATCCATCGTCCGATCGTGCTGCTCACCGTATCCTGCGTCTTGTAGTAGGTCAATGGATTGTTGTCCATAACCCATGTGAACCTACAACGCCCAAGGAGGAAGTGCCGCCATCACTTCAGAGCCATGACGAACGCGAGTAGCTCCTTCTTCCTTGCATCATCAAGCGAGTTGATGGGAGGCACTTTGTGGCTGAAATACTCCACAGGGTGCCAGTCGTTGCCGTCGTGCTGTTCCAAGACTGCCCCAATACCATAGCCGGAAGCGTCCGTAGTCACTCTCGTCGGCAAGGTGGTGTCATAGATGCTAAGGACGGGTGCCATGAGCATAGCCGTCTTAAGTGCTTGGAATGATCGGCGTGCGTCGTCATCGAATACGAATGGCACCTTTGGCRACTGTAACCTCGTCATAGGTGCAGCAATCCTGGAGTATCCGGTGATGAATCGCTGATAGTAGCCCGCCAACCCCATGAATGAACGAACGTCCGTGGTGTTGGTGGGCTCGGGCCACACTTGTAGGGCCTCGATCTTGTCCGCGAGCGGACGGACGCCTTTCGGCGTCACATAGTGGCCCAAGTACTCCAGCTCCTACTGTGCGAACTCGCACTTGTCGCGGTTTGCTTTGTACTTGGCCTGTCATAGCCGCTCCAAAACGGTGCACAGGTGTTCCACATGCTCTTCCAAACTCCGATTGTACACCAAGATGTCGTCCAGGTAGATGAGTACAAACCGATCCAGCATGTGTCGGAACTCCGTTGTCATAGCCGCTTGGAAAGTGGCTGGGGCATTCGTAAGGTCAAACGGCATGACCAGCCATTCGAAATGCCCATACCGTGTCTTGAACGCGGTCTTGTAGCGATCCTCCTTGCGAATCTCGAGTTGGTGATATCCCGACTTGAGGTCCAGTTTGCAGAAGAACTTGGCGCCGCCCAGTCGCTCGAGAAGGTCGTCAATGCGTGGGAGAGGGTCGGCGTTCCTGATCGTCTGCGCGTTGAGCTTGCGATAATCGATGCACAACCGCAGGTCCTTGTTCTTCTTCCGGACGAAGAGAACAGGAGCACCGTATGGCGATGAGCTAGGCCGGATCCAGCCTTTCTCCAGAAGGTCGTCGAGTTGTGCGAGAAGCACACTTAACTCTTCCTCGCTCATTCGGTAGATGCAACCGCGCGGAGGTACGGCCCCATCCTCGAGGATGATCTCGTGGCGGATGGGCCTATCCGGTACTACTCCGTGCGGGCCTTCCAACACGTCACTGTAGGCGTCGAGAAGCTCGGTGATGCGTGGATCCGAAGATGAGTCTGTCGATGAAGCGTCTCGGGGCGGGAGGGCGTGGAGAAAACACCCCCCCATCTCCTCGATGTCGTCTCTGATGATTGAAGCTCGCATGCTTGCGGCAGATACCACGTGGCAGCTGATCGAAGGATGAGGAAGAGGCACCGTGCATGGAACTAATACTCCGCTCCGATCAAGAATGTGAACGGTGCGGTTGAAGAAGTTCACCGGGTGATCCTTGCTTCGCAGCCATGACATGCCCAAGATCATGTCGAATTTGGTGTCCAGAATGTCAAAGGACACCGCCTCACTTGCGTGAGGGGCAAAGTACACTGGGACGTCGTCAATGCACCGGTCCATTGACTTGTGCGTGTGACCGTCTGCCAATGTGACTTGCGTAGGCTGGGGCTTCCTTTGGCCGCGTGGGCCAAGGCCGGCGCGCACCATGAAGTCCTGGCTGATGTAGTTGTGAGATGCTCCGCAATCGATCAAGGCACTGCAGGTCGCCTCTCTGATCTGAATGCGTACGTATAGCAATGGTGCGTCGATGTCGTCGTACCGTTGCGTCTTGAACTCGCGGTCGATCTTCGCGTTGTAAGCGTGAAGGTTGACAACCTCTGCTCCGGCGTCCATCAACGGAGCTGGTACTGCAGTGTACAAGTAATCCCGCAGTTGTGCCATAAGCACGTTGCAATGCGGTTTCGGCAATCGTCCGGTCGAGGGAACGGGCATCCACTGGAAGTCCGTGAACATCAACGGGTCGAGCTCTTCAAGTCTTGACCATGACCTCGAATCCCCGGCGATAGATTGCGGCGAAGCTGCCGAATCGGTTGTTGATGGTGATGAAACCGTGCATGCGGTGGATTGTTGCACGTGGAGCGGTTGGTCCAGCGGTGGAACCAAGTGGACAGCATAATCCTCGTAAGTGTACCGASGACTTGCGACATTCGCATCCTCCCCATATGTGCAGGAGGCCGCTAGCAAGGCGGCCGAATCCAGCGGAATAGAAGGTGGAGTCGCCTCACCTTCCGCGGAACTCAGTTTCCCGAGTTGAAGCGGGGTCGCACATCCTCCTTGCCCTGATCTTGGCACAGGGAGGTCTTGTGCTTGGTGCTGTTGCACCAGTAGCAGCAGCCATAACGGCTGCGGAACTTGTACTCCGCCTCGGTCAAGTTAAACTTGACCCATGAAACTTGCACTGGCTGTCCATTTCCGGCCTGCGATGCGGATTTCGCCATTGTTGTGGGGCTTGTTGTTGCTTCGCGGCTGGACAACAGCCACCTGATCTCCGTCACCTGATGCTGGAGTGGCTGTTGGGTTATCTCCACTGTCCTACTGGACTGCAGCGAAGTGCTGCTGTCGCGGACCAGTTTGTACCTTCTCCACATAGGTCGGCTGCCATGTTGATTTCTCGTGTGCAGCTGACCTGTTGGTCTTGATGATCTCCCTCGCTTTGTCAATGATCTCCACGAAGGTGGTGTACTTCTCGCGATCACCAAGAGCCTGGCTCAATGCACCACAGGACCTGTTGTAGAACTCACGACGTAAATGCGTGAATGGCAAGTCCAGATTGGGCACTGCCGCAATCTTCTGCCACTCTGTGAGCCAATCCCGTGTTGCAGTGTTGCCTTGTGACATGGTGAACAAACGGTTGATGGCGAGTGCTGGCGCGTCGTCGACGATGAACCGCCTCTTCCACAGCCGTGTCAGTTCCTCCCATGTGATCTTGTCCTTCAGATCTGGTACGTCGACGCCGTGGGAGGTTGCCAGGTGGGTCAACCAGGTCTGGCATCCGCCCTTTGAGTTCATGAACAGGGCGTCGATGGACGCGTGCTTGGCGACGAACAGAATCCTGAGTTGCGTCGTGAATGCCTCCCACCAGAGGGTCGGATGCTGCTGCGTGTAGTCGTCGAACTTTTCCAGTTGGAAAGTTGGCATCTTGTACAACTTAGGATTGCCATCCGTGTTCGTCGACTGCAGTTGCTGGACCTCGGTCTGCAAGGTATGCAGCTGACTGCTGATGGTGGTCGGCGCAGCGAAGGTGCTGATGTCGCCGAGCATTGCCACTACATGGTCAACACGTTGCTCCACTTGGCGGCTAGAGGATGCACTGCTGGAAGCACCAACATCTGGTCCTGGTACAGCCTGTTCCAGGTCCAGTACACGGGCATTGAGTGCCCGTGTCGCATCCTTGTGGCTCTGCACTATCCGACAGAGGGTCACCAACTCATGGTGTTGTTGCGTCAGATCCTGGAACAGCTGTTGCAGTTCCTGGTTCTGTCTCTCCAACTCGGACCGTTGGTAGTTGCAAGCATACAACAACCGTGCCATGAGTTTGGAGAGGAACTCCTTATGCTGCTCTTCCGGTGTTGCCTCGTCACCGTTCGTTTCAAAGTGCCAGAACTTGAGTCTGCGTCTGCTTTGGTCTGTAGCAGATCCTGGGCTTCCTTCCGGCGAGCCTGGGCATCTGCGTCTGCTTTGGTCTGTAGCCGCAGCTTCTCTGCTGTTGCCGCTGCTTCAGCCTGTACGCGGGCAGCCTCGGCTGCCAGCTGGCGCTTTTCCTCAGCCTCGATCAGATCGATCTGAGTCTGGAACCGCTGTTTGTACTCAGCCAGAGTCTCGTTGGCCAGTTGGTCTGGCATGCCCAGGGTTGCCCCTGTCATGCTGACATGGCACTGTGACTGACGTGGCACTGCTGACGTGGCACTGTCGTGTCACTGTTGTTGACGTGTCACTGCTGACGTGGCACTGACGTGTCACTGTCCAAATGGGAAAAGCATGCAAAGGGGTGGGTGGGAGGGAAAACGTAGGTAGGCAACCAACCCAACAATACTTTCCTCCGCCCTAATCAACAGATAAAAATAAAATAAAAAAATAAAAGAGGACTACTTCCTTCTTTTTTTTTTTTTTTTTTTGTATATCTGTCGATCTATAATGAGTAGGACATGTCAGAAGAGTACTATGAACGAGATCTAGGCTAGGCTCCGCAAAGTTTCGGCTTTTACAAACTGCGATCTTGAAAAAAAAAATTGCGAAATGGAGTAAAGATGCGATTTTCAGAAAGAACGAAATCCAGTTTCTGAGAATATAGCATCCTCCGAATATGCCTAACGCAATACTGGTAGGCTTCGCAAGATTTCGGTTTTCAAAAAAAATTGCGAGATAGAATGGAAATGCGATTTTCATAAAAGAATAATTTCGGTTTCCGAGAATATGACCACTTCTTTCGTTGTCCCAATATGCCTAGAAAACGAAATATTACGATCAGAAATTTCAGCTATGTCTGCGAACTATCAGAGAAACGAAATGCAACTATCGCAAATTTTAGACAAAACGAAATGCGATTTATCATAAATATTCAGATATTTGTTACGTAAAAACGAAATACCAATATCAGAAATTTTCAGGTAAAACGAAATGCGAATATCAGAAATTTCAGATAGTTGTTGCAAGAGCAAAAAATTTCAGAGATTTGACGAAGTCCAACTTGATTTACTAACGAGTTCAATAGATCAAGCAAGCTCGCTACTTGATTGAGCGGGTCCGCTGAATGAGAGGTCCGCTCCGATACCAAACAGTTGCATACTGTAACGTGCAGACCAGAACAAGAACCGACCTCTCAATGCAAAGTACAAGATGGCGCAAACGGAAGACTTAGATACCAATGATCCGATCAATCAATGTTGCAATGCAGCCCAGAACATACATCATCATCATCATCCCAAAGTGTGAAAGGGGTCTGGCGCTTCACACAGGAAGACTGCGCCAACCCGACACATACACAGACGAAGATGAGGCGGGTTAGACGAAGAGGAGGGAAAGATGAGAATGTCGTCAACACCAAGTCTTCGGCACAGGCCCAAATAGTCCCTCGTCAAAATGTCTGAATCCCAAATGTCGAGTCTGTATCCAATGTCGTCAAGTCTCAGGTCATATCTCTCTCTCGTAGTCCACAGATACTGAGAAGTAGGCAGCGAGAGGGGAAGAAGAGGTGGTGGACTTAGAAGAGGAAGAAGAGGAACTCTCTCTCTCTCTCAGTCCAGTACTAACCTGTGAAGGTGGCGCTGTGATGCAGGTACCTCGAAGATGGAGCTGGAGCGATGGCGCCACAGGTAAGTACTACTGGCCTCCGCCAGTCACCTCTTTCCCATATCACTACTACTACTACTACTAAAGCGCCCAACGCTGAAGACTACAGCTATGGCGCCCAGCGCTAAAGACTACACTAGCGCTAAGTTGCCCTGGGCAGCGCTCCTCCTGAGTGCTGCTCCACTATCCTGAAGACTACTCTGACTACCGTGTGACCACCTACCCATGAAGTGCATGGGAACTTCCCATGTACTATCGGGTGTGCCTCCTGACTCGTGCGAGTAGTCCAGGAGGTTGCTCTTGCCAATGCCGAAGGGAGGCAGGGGCTGCAGCTGCAGCTCTTGCTCGAGCTGGCGTGGAACAGGCTATTTCTGGCCTGTTCCGAAAACCCTGTTTCTGTGCCTGAGTCTTAGGTAGGTCGAACACAATGAGGGCCTGAAAATGGCCCTCCGTTTTAGGCTGGAAAAACTCTGGGTCTAAAAGACCCAGAAATAGGCTGAAACGGAGTAGGGCCTGCAGACGCTCGTTTTTCAGCTTTCAGGCTGAAACGACCGGGGCCTGTAAGCCCTAAGTTTTAGGCTTTTAGGCTGAATGTCCGGGACGGGCCCTGCAGGGCCCGTGTGGCTATGAAGAATGCCACAGGAAGGCAGTATTGCATGTTTGACTGGGCCAACCAAAGGCTGGGAGAGTCTCCATAAGATTGGAGGGCCCAGTGCTATGTTTACTTTTGATTGCCTGAAGGACCAGACTTGTTCCCATAAGTTTGGGTGGTCTGGTTGCTTTGACTTGCGAGGGCTGACTGTGATTGACTTTTCACGGACCAAGCATGTTCCATAAGTTTGGGTGGCTTGGTCGCCTTGTTTACTTTGGGTTTCTTTCAGTTTCTTTAGTTTCTGAACGAGGAGGTCTGAGCATGTTCCATAAGTTTGGGTGGCTCAGCCTCTTCCTGCTTTGGCTTTAAGAAGAATGAACCAGGCTGAGGACCAAGACATGTTCCATAAGTTTGGGTGGTCTTGGTCCAATGCCACACACATGCTGGAACCAGAAGGTTATAACTTGGCCATACTTTACTACTATTCTATCTATGAACAGGCTAGTCAGACAGGGTTCTATAAGTTTGGGTGGTCTGACTATAGCTTATCACCAGCTGAAGAGAGTAATGATTAAGAATAAACTTGTGGTACGAAGGGGCAGACTGAATCTTAAGCTAAAGATGATCGGTTCAGTTATATGCCACCTCAAAAGATTGAGTGCACATAATTATGTAAAGTTGGGATACTTAAACAGTTCAAGGCAACTAGAGTGGCCTAGTCATATGCCCAAAGAAGAGAAAAGTTGTTGTGCCCTGTGCTTGTGTATGTTCTATGGCTGAGCTAGGCAGGTTCCCATAAGTTTGGGTAATCTAGCTTTATGCCTTATGTAAGCTGGGTATACAGGGATAAATAATTGAAAGACTATGAACTATTGTTTGATGAGTGGACTTTGGGCTGGTGAGAGTACTTACCTTTGTGGTTTGGCCTTGCATATGACTGAGTGAGATAACTACTTGGTCTGAGTTTCAGTTGATAGGTAGTTGCTTTAGTTGCTCGCCACGTGCTAGAGCCATAGGAGTTGGTTTCAATTCCTGCATTTGCTCCCCACGTGCTTGGTCGATTTCTGCATTTTCTGGGATCTTTTATTATACTAGGTCTTGTATAAATCTTCGTAAACCACTTTCTCTACGGGAAGCGCTGCCGAAATTTCTACAAAACCAAAGAGTTAGTCAAATACACGCACAAGTCAATCGACCAGTGCATTGATAACGTCCCAGTGTACTTTGCCCCTCACGCAAGTGAGGCGGTGTCCTTTGACATTCTGGACACCAAATTCGACATGATCTTGGGCATGTCATGGCTGCGAAGCGAGGACCMCCCGGTTAACTTCTACCGCCGCACCGTTCACATCCGTTATCGGATGTGAGTACTAGTCCCATGCACGGTGCCTCCTCCTCACCCTTCAATCAGCTGTCACGTGGTATCCGCCACAAGCATGCGAGCTTCCATCATCAGAGACGACATCGAGGAGATGGGGGGGTGTTTTCTCCACGCCCTCCCGCCCCTTGACGCTTCATCGACGGACTCATCTTCGGACCCACGCATCACCGAGCTTCTCGACGCCTACAGCAACGTGTTCGAAGGCCCGCACAAAGTACTACCGGATCAGCCCATCCGCCACGAGATCATCCTCGAGGACGGGGCCGTACCTCCGCGTGGTTGCATCTACCGAATGAGCGAGGAACAGTTAAGTGTGCTACGGGCGCAACTCGGCGACCTTCTAGAGAAAGGCTCGATACGGCCTAGCTCATCGCCATACGGTGCTCCTGTTCTCTTCGTCCGGAAGAAGAACAAGGATTTGCGGTTGTGCATCGATTATCGCAAGCTCAACACGCAGACGATCAGAAACGCTGGCCCTCTCCCACGCATCGGCGACCTTCTCGAACGACTGGGCGGCGCCAAGTTCTTCTCCAAGCTGGACCTCAAGTCGAGATATCACCCGACTCGAGATTCGAAAGGAGGACCGCTACAAGCCCGCGTTTAAGACGCGATATGGGCATTTCAAATGGCTGGTTATGCCATTTGGCCTTACGAATGCCCCGACCACTTTCCAAGCGGCTATGACAACGGAGTTCAGACACATGCTGGATCGAATCGTACTTATCTACCTCGACGACATCCTGGTATACAGCCGGAGTTTGGACGAGCATGTGGAACACCTGCGCACCGTTTTGGAGCGGCTACGACAAGCCAAGTACAAAGCCAACCGCGACAAATGCGAATTCACGCGGCAGGAGCTGGAGTACTTGGGACATTATGTGACACCGCAAGGCATCTGTCCGCTTGCGGACAAGATCGAGGCCCTCAGCGTATGGCCCGAGCCCACCAACACCACGGACGTTCGTTCATTCATGGGGTTGGCGGGCTATTATCAACGATTCATCACCGAATACTCAAGGATTGTTGCACCCATGACGCAATTACAATCGCCGAAGGTGCCATTCGTATTCGATGACGACGCACGCCGGTCATTCCAAGCACTCGAGACGGCCATGCTCATGGCACCCGTCCTTAGCATCTATGACCCCACCCTGCCGACGAGAGTCACTACGAACGCTTCCGGCTATGGCATTGGGGCAGTCTTGGAACAGCACGACGGCGACGACTGGCACCCTGTGGAGTATTTCAGCCACAAAGTGCCTCCCATCAACTCGCTTGATGATGCAAGGAAGAAGGAGCTGCTCGCATTTGTCATGGCTCTCAAGCGATGGCGGCACTTCCTCCTTGGGCATCGTAGGTTCACATGGGTTACGGACAACAACCCACTGACTTACTACAAGCCGCAGGATACAGTGAGCAACAACCGTTATGGATGTACTTCATCGACCAATTTGACTTCACACCGAAACATCTTCCCGGCCTCTCCAATCGCGCAGCAGATGCACTCTCGCGAAGACCTGATCTTTGCGCTATGACACATCATGCCTTCGCATTCGACGAGGAGCTCTAGCGACACTTCATCAGGGGCTATGAGTCCGATCCAGACGTCGCCACGCTATATGCGCAGCTATCTTCGGATCACCCGCCGGCCAGCCACTATCGCATCGTCGATAGGTACTTGCTCCTGCACTCGCGGGGCAAGGACTTACTATGTGTCCCACGCGACCACCGTCTTCGGACTCGCCTCCTCGGCGAGTATCATGATTTGCGACTCGCCGGCCATTTCGGAGTCAAACGCACTATTGCACGGCTTCGACAGCGATTCCGATGGCCCGACCTCATCACCGACGTCACTAGGTATTGCGACTCGTGCGAAGTTTGCCGACGAAGCAAACCCCGCAACCGCAACCCCTACGGCGAGCTGCGTCCGATGTCGATCCCGCAGGAACCCGGTCTCTCCATTGCCATGGATGTCGTCGGACCATTCCCCCGCGACCGCCTCAGACACGACGGCATCCTCACGGTCGTGGACCGATTGAGTAAGTACGCGCGTTTTCTCCCTTGCAAGTACTACTTCACGGCTCCCGAGTTGGCAAGCCTCCTGCACACCGGCTGGATTTGCGGCCATGGTGTACCAGAAGACATAGTCAGCGACCGCGACACTCGTTTCATGTCGGCATTTTGGACTGCGCTCATGGAGGAGTCCGGCACGAAGATGAAGCCAAGTTCGGCTCGGCACCCACAGACAGACGGGCAGACGGAGCGGGCACATCAGACCGCTCCAATGATGCTTCGTACGCTCATCCGTCAGGACCAAAAAGATTGGGTTGACCGCCTCCCCGACATCGAGTTCGCCTACAACACTTCGGTGCATCCGGCGATCGGCGTGACTCCATTCGAGTTGCACCTCGGTGGACGGAAAGGTCGTATCTTCGCCAACCTTCTCCTCCCACGACCAGCCGACATCCATGTCGCTTGCTCTCCCGCTTCAGTCCAAAAGTACAGGGAATTGCTGGCTCAAGCCTGCGCGAATATGCAAAAGGCTCAAGTCGGCATGCAGCAGCAAGCCAACAGGCATCGCGTGCCATGTCCCATCCGCGCCGGCGACCTAGTTTGGGTTTTCACGGAAGAGTTTGCATTGGAACAGGATGTCTCACGCAAACTGCTTCCCAAGTGGTTTGGACCATGGCTCGTAACATCAGCCGCGGGCGATGAGCCCGATGGCCCTTCATTTGTGATCAACATCCCCCCGCGTCTGACGGTCCATCCAATCTTTCACGCCTCGAAGCTGGCAACAGCCACGCCAGCTAAGAGCAACGACTTTCCGGGCCAACGATCGCAGGACCCTCCTTCTATGGATGGTCATCAGGAAGTTGACCGCGTCATCACCGATCGCAAGTACGGCATCAAGCCGTGACAGTACAAAGTTACATTCAACGCATGCGATGGCGACGACACTTGGTGGATTTCAGGAGCAGATTTGAAAGCATCCGCATTGCTGATCTACGCGCATTATGAGAAGCAAAGGTTAGCTCAGGAAGCTTCACGACCAGCCCCTCCCACCCGGACTGTGGTCCCTCCCTCAGACAGACAGCTTCGCCCTCGCAGGTAAGCTCGGTCTTTCAAGGAGGGGGGGGTGTGGCATACTGCGTAGCCACACGGGCCTGCAGGGCCCGTCCCGCACTTTCAGCCTAAAAGCCTAGAAAATAGGGCTTACAAGCCCCCATGTCGTTTCAGCCTGAAACTGAAAACGAGGGCCTGCAGACCCTATTTCGTTTTCAGCCTATAACATGGCTTTTTAGCTCTAAGGCTTTTCAGCCTGAAACGGAGGGCCACTTTCGGGCCCTCATAAGATCGACCTACCCTAAACCTCAGGCACAAAAACAGGGTTTTGGGAACAGGCTATTTCTGGCCTGTTCCCCACGACAACCTTGAGCAGGAGCTGCAGCGGCAGCCCCTGACTGCCTTCGGCATTGGCAAGAGCAGCCTCCTGGACTGCCTCGCCTACAGCCAGGAGGTACCCGAGTAGTACATAGGAAGTTCCCATGCACTTCACGGGAAGGGACAGTAGGCAGGAGTAGTCTTCAGGATTCAGCCGCAGCACTCACGAGGAGCGCTGGCAGTAGTGGTTAGCGCTAGCAGTAGTCTTCAGCGTTGGGCGCTCATAGCTATAGCAGTAGTCTTCAGCGCAGGGCGCTAGTAGCTGGTAGTGGTAGCATTGGAGAGAGATGGTTGGCGGAGGCCAGCGGTACTTACCTGTGGCGCCATAGCTCCAGCTCCATCTTCGAGGTACCTGCATCAAGGCGCCAACATCACAGGTTAGTACTGGACACAGAGAGAGAGAGAGTTCTTCTTCTTCCTTTTCAAAGTCCACCATCTCTTCTCACCCTCTCACACCTGACTTCTCAGGATCAGCAGACTACGACACACACACAGAGAGAGAGAGAGAGAGAGAGAGAGAGAGAGAGAGAGAGAGAGAGAGAGAGAGAGAGAGAGAGAGAGAGAGAGAGAGAGAGA